CCTAAATGAGGGTATACAAGTCATTGCAACTGCTCTTCAGGAGTTATTTACCACAAAACAAAATATTTATTTATAGTAAACATATCGACGATTAAACGACTTAAAACACTAGCGAAATTACGGCTTTACTGCGATTTCACCATATTACCATTTTTCAATCGAAGCCACTGATTAGACGATTAAACGTTTAAACACACAGAAATAGGGCTGGAACGGAGCCGGATATCCGGACTTTTCAAAGTATCCGGATCCAGCTCCGAATTTAACGGATAATCAATTTTATTATCCGAATCCGGATCCGAAAACTCCAGATATCCAGAGACCGAATATCCGGTTTGAATCGAAGATTTACGGATATCTGATCGGATATCCGGTTTCGTTGATTTAAAAAAAACTTTAATTTTTAAAATTATAATGAGATAATATATATAATTAAAATGTATCATTATAGCAAAAATTACAAAAATTTAAAAGCATTCAAGTAGCATTCAAATAACACAAAGTTTAAAAATTTACATAGGAAAAGAGAAAATAGTAATAGAGAAGTTAATTTATCTTCATATCCTTGTGTTATCTATTTTCATGGTCTTCTCTCACAATCTGAAATAGAAAATTATCATGCAATATAAATTTCAATCATGTGTAAAAGAGTTAAACCAAAAAAAATTTTCAAACATAATTAAAACAAAAAATTAAATGCATATCCAAAGATTTCAAAATTTTCAAAATCTTAATAAACGGATAACGGATAACGGATATCCGAGTTTAAAATTTTCTATTATCCGAATTCGTATCCGAAATAACCGAATACTTAATTTCATTATCCAAATTCGGATCCGAACTACACGAATATCCGGTTTTTACGGATCGGATAGGATCGGATACCGGATCGGATAGCGGATACCGGATAATAATTCCAGTCCTACACAGAAACATACATATGGGACCCACTTGACGATAATCTCCTAATGGGGCTCTATTTTGATGGGCTTCATCTCATATTTATAAGATGGGTGGATTTCTTTCATAATCTTGTTGTTATATATTAGATTTTTGAAAAAGGGAGGATTGCATAACCTTGTAAAAACAATTACTTAAAATTGGCACTCAAGGAAATAATATTGGAACAATTATCATATCATTCGTGATAGATTATCAGTATCGTGTGCCCCACCAGAGCTGTGAAACTACACGTGCTCATGTCCAGGTTTGTGACGTGGCTAAATTTCACACGTTGATATGTCGTCTTTTGACCATCACCCTCTTCCAGCTTCATGTTTAACAATATTTTCTTCGTTATGAGACAGATTTCTTTTCTTCTTTTTTTTTTTCGTTAAACAAGATAACTTACGAGGCAGATTCTCATTAACTTTTTTTGTCGGATAGTTTAAAAATAAAATTTTATAGGGAAATTTAATTAAATATTTGTCCGAGAAGCAATCGGAATTCGTAAGTGCTTTTAAGCTAGATTAGTTATTTCTTCTTACGGATGCATAGATGGCATGCAATAGTAAATTAAGTATAATGTTTGTCTTCTAATTTGAAAGCCAGCTTTATTGAGTACTTTCGATGGTTTCCAGATACTCCTGAAACGCGTGACAACACGAAACATCGCATATTTGTTTGTTCGGAGTTATTGAACATTTTCAGTTTAGATATCTTTTAATTTTGGACTTTCGTTTTTGTTTCTTTGAATAAGGTTTTATCGTTTGTGCGAATTTTATATGTTTGTTTATTTAAAAAGTCATATATTTTCTATGATTTTTGAGATCTTCAGTAAGACAGTAACAAATTGAAATTATATACTATTAAAAATGATGACTTCTTGGTATATCTTATGATTACCTATTGAAATCTTCAGTAACAAATTGAAATTATAATGTATTTTATTATCATGTATTGTATATCATTTCTATTTTATATCTAGTTATATATAGTGATATATCGTAATAGTTACAAACGATAACCACACCTTTTCAGTTGCTATAATCTGAATAATTCGAACTTTAATTTCATGACTTTGTGTAAGAACTTATAAAACCTCGACTAAGGGCTAGACAATAAATAGTATTAATTTTATTACGGGGTATATTAAGTTGCTGAACCCAAATTAATCCATGAAACATGTGGAAATTTGAGTATTACTGTTATTTATGACTTTTATAATGGCTTAAAGAGAATTATGACGACCTTTGTCGCCAATAGAAATGGTTTAAAGATAATTTATTTACCCATTTGTACAAATTATCGGGGCATACGTTTTTTAAACGTTTTTTTCTTACTTACTGAATCACAAAATAAACTAGTTATCTTCCTAAGGTGGTTGATTGTAAAATCCATAAGATTTTCAGTTATCATGTATTATATGATTTCCTTTCCCTTTACATTACAAAATATCTTCCGAACAAAAAAAAACTAAAAGTTAAATACGAATAGATGTGTGTGATAGCTAATGAGTGGTGGTTGATTAGATAACAACGATTGTGAGAAAATTATGAGATGATTCAGTGGAAGTGGGAGTTAAGCGGGTGGCTTTATGCAGACATCTCTCTACTTTCTACCCCTACCTCGACCTTTATTTTTTTTCTTTATACAAAGATATTAGTTGAGTTATGGACTATTGACTACTAATATAAGATAAATGCAAGGTACAAGTATGATTTTTATGAATAGATGATAATACCTGGAAAGCAACTTTGTGAATCTTTAAAATAGGGTAAAATATGACATACCATGATTTTTTTGTTCATATTATAAATAATTTTAATTAAATTTTATTTACCCTTTCACATGTTCACCAATTGAAATAATCTCTCAGAACATTATATTGTGATATAATCTATTGTTTTTTGGGTTTTGATGTTTAGTTTTAGATGCGTGAAGTTTAATAGTATTTGAAAATTAAAGAAGTTTAATAATATTAGTTTAATAAAGTGTACGAATATTTGAAAGTTGAAATTTGAGAAATCAAATATGTTCCATTTGTTTTACTATATATGTTTTTTAATACAAATGGCCAAACACAGTAACAATCATTCAGTTTTTACATTATAACAAAATTTAATTCATAAAAAACCGGGAAAATATTTGATATAAAACTATGATGTATTATTAAATAAAATAAGTTGACACGAATAGTTCGTGAGACTAAGTTGGTAAACCATATAATAACATAAAACCAACAAAAATCATAACATAATATGTACATCTCGATAATATATATGCGTAATGATGGTAAACAATAATAGCGTTTCTTCTTCTTCCTAAAGTGCAATCTCAATACATCGTATGGAGATGTATTTGGACCGAATTATAAAATTATTGCTCAATCATTGTAATGAAAATCGCCGTACAAGAACACATTACAAATACTTGAACTGTCTTTCGTAATATGATTTAAGAATGAAAATAACATCATAACCTTTTGAGCGGCAATCGTAATCTAAATACCTGGCGTAGTAACAAAATCATAATTAAGTATAACACATTTTGTTAATTTAAATCATAAACTAACAAAATATACAGTTACCCTTTATATATTTTTAAATATATTTTAGATAATATTTATGTATTTTACTTGACCCCATGAAGGTCCACGTTGTAGGTCTAACAAGGTAGCGATGCATTAAACGAACTATATAGCAGTCGACGTATGAAAATTAACATATTAATTCAATCATTTTTTCTATCCAATCTGCTGGATATATCGTTTGGCTATTCTATTAAATATAAGAAAAAATCAAAATTATTTATACTTTTTGTTAAAAATGAATACTTGCTTGCTGTACTTGGAAAAATTGAAAGTTTTTTTGGTCAATGAGTGTCCTTTCAAATTAATTAATTTGCGAGCTGTTTCCAGCAAAAACATCTATCTAACAACTAATTGTTAGGCCAGTTTAGAAATTTGTATGGAATTTATTCATATTAGGATCCCAAACCCTCATACCTTATACAATCAACATGTTCTTCAGGTTATCGAATAATACATCCATAGACATATATATTTTAAACTAATTTTGTGCCGGTATATCTCAACTTCAAGTAACATGTATTATATTTGTTGTTGTTGTTGTTGTTGTTAAAGATCATATATGATATATATACACAAGTAATGCTAGCTCAATACAGGGTTGACTTTTGTTTTATGTGTGTGTGTGTGTTTTATATAAAAAATTGTTATTTTCATATTTAAAACCTCAGAAGACGAATAGATAATATTTTTAGGTTTTGATTGAAAATAAAATGTTTTAGTATTAGTAGATGCAATTACACATATCTGCCTTTATCGGGTGAACTTATACCTACTGTATTTTGTTTATTAATTTAGAAACCTGAGTTTGTCTCTACAAATAAAGAAAACGGGAAAATTCGTGTGGGCTTCCGTCCAATAACGGGAATTTTTATTTTCCCCCTAAAGAAAAGAAAAATGTGTCACACATTCTGTCCTCCAAACAATCAAACGTCAAGTAACAGACGCACGTGCGAGGAGAAATCCCGTTTTAGCACTACACGCACACGTAAGCAGACTTTCCCGTTTCGGTTATCTCCACACGCAACGACCTGTTAAACTGAGCTTTACACGTGTGCAACCCCCTTCCCCTTTATTTTCCCTTCGCTCTTTGTTGTTGAAAATTTAAAGAGACGTCAAAAGAAAAATCAATAATTAAAAACCATATAACGCGGCGATTATCGGGGTGAGTCCATGTGCTTGATATAGTAGAATACTTATCCTGGAAAAACTCTGTATTCATGCATATGGTTAATGACATTTTAAATAAGATTACGTAAACACCATAAAAATGATATCTCGAACAATAAATGCTGAAGATAGCATTCAAGGAACCATTATATAATTCTGTTCATTTTGAATGCAGATATTTCTTTTAGTATGAAAACTCATGGACCCAAGAATAAATATTCACGTTACGAAAGGAAAACATACAAAAGTGGATGTTGCAGGTGACAATAATAAATAGTAAGAGGACAAAAATTAACATAAAATAAAAATCGAGATTTTATTATCAGTCGTATGGATGATGTTTCTTTTGGGAGAATTAGGCAAAAAAAAAAAAAAAAAAGCAAAATGCAAAGGCCAAAAAAGGATTAACCAAAAATGCAGAAAACAAAAAGCTTCTGTAAGAAAATAAAATTATAGTTCTGGAAATTAAATAATTAAAATCCCCTTGTTTATAAAGATCCCATTTGATACTTTCTACCTGTTTTGTATCTGAGTTTCTTGTTTTTGTTTCTATGTCAATGCAATTACTTGGTTCTTTTAGACCTTTTCATCAGACTCGGTCGTTTCAGACAAACCGTTGAGTTTCTGCGCCTTGGTTATGGGAATAGAGGAGCTTCGACGCTCTTTACCGCCCGGTTTAGAAGATGCATTACCGTACCAGATCATACCAAGGATCGCAATGAGCATTCCAAGTACTACTTGTAGATTTAAACCTTCCTTACCAAAGAAAGTGAATCCCAAAACCAAAACCAGAATTGTCTTCATGTGACCAAGTACTTGGAAAGAAACCGCCGTGAATCTTCCGATACATATGAATTGGCTGAGATTGGTCCCGACCGCGATACTGCACGAGAGAATTAAGAAGAACTGCCCCCCAAAAAAAAATTGGGTTAAACAGAGCTCAAGAAAAGACAAATCTAACAGAGTATGACGACGATCAAGAGTCTAATTGGTTCAACTCGGTTTTGAATTTAAAGTGGAGCAAATGCATCATTAGAATCATAGAAGATTTTAACAAAGAAAGAGAGGAGAAACTTTACCAGTGATATAAATGAAAAGTTGAATGCATCCACTCTTTGGTTAGTCAACCAGTAGTCTAGAAATGGTCCGACCAACAACAACGATGCAGCTTGTACTGGAGCGGTATGCGCCAGTAAGTTGAAAGAACCGAGCGAATATTTCCGTTGCAGATAATGTACATACTGTAAAATATAGTAGTCAACTGTTAGAAATCACATTTCTATTTTTGGTTTACAAGCAAAAGTGAATGTGTGGATCCGGATCAGAATAACACGGGATGATGAATTTGGACCAAGATCTGTTCCAAATTTGACAATATATAGATAAAAAGTCAGGCGTAGGATACAATATAAGATACTTACGTATTGCTGAAGCGCGGTGCTCCAGACAGCAATGGCGGCAGCGAGAAATCCGTTGAGATTGACACTAACATCGGTCACAGTACAGACGGCAACACCAGCAAGAACTAGCAAAATGCTAAGCTTCGTATCTCTTGAATACCTGACATTGTCAAGAACAACTTCAAGCAGACAAGATACTGGGATCATACTCAGCTTCGCAATCTGCAGTTTCAACACACTCGTTTCAAGATCTCCCCAAGAATTCAACGAAGATTAAAAGAAGAAAAGAAAAGGGACTGACCTGGTAGAATCCGACAGAATTCCACATGAGGCTGACGTTCATCCCAACGATTGAGAAGTTTGCGAACAAAACGAATTTGAGGAGATCGGGCCAGGGAAGCTGAGATGGTTGGATATAACCAAGCCATGTCAAGAATGTTGTCAACAATGTGGTTGTTCCGAAATGCAAACCGGTTAGCGTCGTAGCTGTGTCAGATTTAGATGTTAAATCAAGTGTTCAAACCCGTTGACTATTTTTCAAGAGGGAATATCATCTAAACATAATTAAGAGTAAGTTTGATTACGAGACTCACCGAAACTAAAGCCATAAGTAGCCATTAAGGCCTTGTTAACGAGTATGATTCCAACGGAAGTAACAACATTGAATAGCCATGATGCAATGTCTAAAGCCGCTTTTTGATCCGTCTTGCTTGTTGCCATCATTTCTTTTTTTTTTTTCCTTCAACGGATCAAACCAGATCTCTGCAGATTTCAAAATTCTCAAATTACTATCGAGGAGCCAAACACCAAATAAAGAGAGTGGAAATCACAGTAGATCTTATGATCAATCCTCGGCAATCTGAAAACCCAACTATATTAGCTGTTTCTACATTCGATTTTCACAAATCCACGATCTAAAATGCTTTAGATCCAGAGAAAACCGAGACATCGAAGGACTTTCCGTTATTCCAAAACTCTAAGCTCCAGCTATAAAAACTCGAATCAGATCCAATACTCATACGACCTCAGACAAAGGACTAACCATTTCTAGCGAATTCTAACCGTAAACAAACAAAATCAGAAGAAAAAGAAAAAACCATTTAAAAAAAAAACAGTTTCCGAAGTAAAACCAAATCTTCACGAGAGAAACATAAATTGTGTACCAGATAACAGAGAGAAACGAGCCTTCGAAGACGACCAACACCACGGCGGTTGCCGTTACTGCCGAGTCGGCGTCTAACGGCGGCGCGTAGGCGGAAGAAGACGATGAAGTCAAATAAGGGCTAAATCAACATGAAATGAGAGAGAGAGAGGAACTGTGGAAATTCGAGTGATATTATTATTTTCTCTCTTCCGTTATTTTATTTTCTTTCCTTTTTGTTTTCGTTTTTTCTTTCTTTCTTTCAGTTATGTACTTCCCCCTCAGAGTTTCCATCCTGCCATTTATGAGAGAGGACAGCCAGAGGAATCTTTTTATTTCCCTCACTTTCTTTTAAGATATATATAAATTTAAATTTATTTAGCAAATTATATAAACTAACAAATATGATTAAATTATTCTATTTTAGAGTGAAAATAAATTTGGTTAAAGAAAGATTTCCTTTAAATTATAGTTTTTTTTTTTAAATGAGGACGTCAGGTTAGAGATGATCTTATCAATGACGTTCTTATTATCTTTTTTTTTCTTTCGCCTCAATTGATTTCTCAATATTGATTAAATATTACACTTCGGAGGGGTAGTGTGAGGCACAACGCAGAACTAAAACTGGATCAAGCGGAGGAATAAATTAAGCTGTAATTTGAATTCCTTTGTTTTTTTGTGCTAAACAATTCCTTTCTTTATTAAATTAATGTGCCTTATTAATGTGGATCTAACCCCTATTTCGTGGTTTGGCTTATTAATGTGGATCTAACCCCTATGTTTCGTGGCTATTCAACACCCGTGGAATATTTGTTAGAAAACTAGAGCTCCATAACGTCTTTCAATGTTAAGGAGTAAATGTTTGTGTAAAAGAAATACATCTTTCAAATTTTCAATGTTAAGAGTAATAGTATATGTCTAGAAGTCTTTTTTTTTATAGTAAATTACTTTTCTGCTTGTAAAATTTATTAGAAATATTTTTATCGACAAACATTTGCTGGTTCATATTTCTCGCGAAGGAAGTTGTAATAAAACCTTAAATACTAGAAAACAAAAAACAATTGTTATTTGTCATCATACGAACATTATTGTGTTCAGAAAAATGATAAATAATAAAAAAATAAAAATAAGTTGGAAAATGGTAGTGTAGAGAAATGGAAAGGAGAAGTGTAGAACTAAAAAGGCGTGACCAATTTTCTAATCGACAAAAGGACAAAGAGGGGGACAAACGAAAAATAAAGACAGAGGTTCCGTTTGGTTAAAGATCCAAAAAGACTACTTTTCTTGTGAGTTTCTTCTATATTTTTATTTTATTATTATGTTTTCTAGGTCCGTTAAGGATCTCAGTCTTATTGTCGTTACTCGATGATTTTCATGTGACTGTTTTCATGGTAAGTTTCAGTTATATATATCAGGCGATATTATCATAGATTCATAATACAAGTTTTATATAACTTTACTGGGATAGTATTAAAATACATGTTTCATATCAAAGTTAACAATTTTTTACACATGCTACTACATCATATATCAATTTTAATAACATAAAATAGAGCGGATTAGATGGTGAAACTAATGAAGTCTGCTAGATCACAAATTTACTCTTTTAAATAGACGACACAAATTTATTAGTTCACTTTATAATATACTCATGTAAAAGGTTAATAAACTTAAAACTCAATTTATTCGGCAATACGACATACTGACTCAACATCGTATCAACTTTGTAAAACAATCAACATCATCGCCTCATTTGAGATAATGCATTTTCACCAACAAAGGTTCTTTTTAAATGACATGGTTAGTTAGCTACATTTTTTTTCATTGTAACTATGTTAATTTTTTGAAGTATCATTTTTGTTGAAAATAATTTTTAATATTTATCAAAAATTAAGATCTATTTTTTTATAACGTTTTGATCGATTAATGAATTTAGTACTTAATTTTTATTAAAACTGTTATTGTATTTTATACAGTCCTGTCTATGTTTTCTTAAAACAAATGTTAACTTATTCCTACAAATTCTGTCAAAATGATTGTCATATATCAGAGGCTCTTGAGCTTCTGTCCTGTCCATTTACTTTTTTTTTTCCAGACTGAATTTGACATACTGTTAGACTATGATTGGTCGGCAAAAGACACTATGATGGGATTGAAATCTTAAATTGAATTTGCAACTAAGTGTATTTTATTCATATTGCATAAATCGTTTTTAGGGAACTTTCATATAAAATAGATCGTATATCAACAAAAAACAAAAGCCATAGTATGAATATGTTTTTATTTTTGAAAATGACGTCGAATTGACATTGACAATCAATTTGACGGAGAAGGCAGAAAAGAGTATAATTTACGGCTTAGCAATATCTTCCTTTTTTTTTTCAATTTTTTTGTTTGACCCTTTATTTCCCTTCTTAGTACGTCAAAGTGTCAAGCAGCTTTTGATGTGCCAAGAAAAATGTAGTATTTTATTTATTAATCATAATTTTGAAAATCGTTTAGAAGCTAGCAGTCTACTTTAAATTTTGCAGTATAAGAAGATGCAAGCAAGTATTTTGTTAGAAAATGCTGCTATGGATAACCAAGTTTCGGTTTGATACTACCAAAGTAACAGGGTTATCAAATCTGATGTTTTTTAGAATTGTATTCAAATCTTGATATGTTTGAAGCAGCTAAGTAGTCAAATAAAATAAATATTCTTAATCGGTTTTGACTAACTTAGCTTTTATAAGATTATATCCTACTGATTTGTGCATTTTGGTCCACTATTACCATCCCACAGTTTAGCTTTCGGAGAAAATGATTTAAAAATTTTATTTTTAAAATATCATCAAGACAGCAAGACTTAGAGTGCTAAGACAAAAAAGTAATGGTCTTAGATATAACTAATGGGCCACGCGTTTAAGCCCACATACAAACCAACCGCAGCTGAATGTCGGTATTACCCCTGAGAAAAAGTTTCGAAAAACGACGGTAGCTATATGGAAAAGCCAATGGAGGGAGACATTTATTTCCTTAACAATTTCATCCAAAATATTCCCGCCTTACTATTTTTCACACTCTGCTCCTGGAGATTTTCGTCCGATTCGTCGATCTCCTCTCGAAATATTTTCATCTGGTAGATCCGTGTAAGCCTTTCTCTCGCGTTTCAGAGTCGATAACAGACGAGGTTAGTGGTTCTTAATGGTGCTAATTCGCGATGCTTGCTTATTTAGACTTTTCTCCACCGATCGTTTATCTGTTGTCTGATTGGAGATGTCACCGTAAGATTTTGCTATGGATTGTAAATCTAATAGTGATTTCTGGTCCCGATTTGAATTCAATCCTGTCTGATTGATTTTTCATGTTAATGATTTGATTTTCGTTCGGTTGGATCATCGAGGTTTGGAAGGTTGTTTTGATTTCTAGGGTTCCGATAAGTATGAGTCGGAGGTTTTGTTTTTGAATCTTCATAAATTCTTCTGAAGAACTTAGTTGTTTGATTATAGGTGTGTTCGTTTATCTCAAATTCGTATATAATTATCTCTGAGTTTCGTTTGGTAGTGGATAAGTCGCGATTTGAAACGTGTTTGAACTTTCTAGGTTTGGATCCTGGATAATCGGAGGTTTTGTTTCAAATTTCTACCGAGTGTTTTGAACGACATAAAATTTTGGCTGTAAATATGTGTTGCTTAACAAATCTGAATCGATATGTCTGCTTATTTTAACATGTTACTTAGTTTCGTTCGGTTGTGGAAGAATATAGATCTGAGAGGCATTTGGATTTCTAGGGTTTGAATCTATATAATCGGAGGTTTTGTTACGCATCCCTGTTAAATAGTATGGAGAACAAGAAGATTTGACTATTGAGTTTTGTTACCGATTTTTTTTTTTTTTTTTTCTTTTCAGAATGGCTAGAAAGAGGACTGAAACTGCAACGGAGTCCTCAAAGGAGATCAAAACGAGAGGAAAATTCACCAGAGCCAACAAGTGTATGAAAACAACTACTAAGAAATTCCATGAATCTGGTAAAAGCTTATCGAATCATTTAAAATTATTCTCACTTGATCTCAACTATTTATAAAGGATTTGTTGTCAACAATCAGTCAGCTGTCTACAAAGGATTTGTTGTCACTAATCAGATACAAAATCGTTTTATGTTCTTATAAAGTATTTGTTGGCATTGTAAATTGGACTTTTTTTTGGTCATAATTTAGGAAAACATAGTAATAGAAGAGAGGAGAAGTCCCCTTCTAAGTGTTCAGAAGAGTCTCCATCTGCTCAAGTACGAAGGTCGATAAGTACCAAAGACGGAGCTCAAGAAGTACCTGTCCTCGGTCTCCATTTAGGCAAAGAGGTTCGACTTTCTGGAAAAATGAAGTTGCAGCTTTTTCCTTTGGATGCTCATACCCGTGAAGGATTAGAAAAGGTAAAGCCTAAGATCTGACCTTAAGACATAGTATACATTCTGGTGAATATTTTTCAGCTTGTTTATTTTTGCTACTTTGTAAGGGCGGCTTTCACCCATATTTGGAACTCACTCTTAGCTCACGGAAGAAGGTTTCTTCAGTGCTTCAACACATTCACACTAAGTGGGGCAGCTCAGAGATTGCTCGGGGAGATCCCATGTTGTACCCTTATGATAAATTGGTACTCGCTTCTGGTCATAAATGGACAGCTAACAGCAACATCACTATAAGCGATGTCTATGTGGCTGTTGGAGCTCCATCCCTTTTCCGCTTAAGGTTTGCATCTATATTTACTTTTCATAGCAACTTTCTAAGCATATTCACGTCTTATGAGTCTTTATTTCGTTTAGGTATGGATGGTCCCCTGCGACTTATAATAAAACAGATGAACCGCCATCTCCATCAACTCCGGGTATCACTACTTTTCCAAATGAAGAGCCTCAAAACATCATTTGTAACAAAACAGAGAGTTCCAGTTTTACGGGAAAGCAGACGTTTGGTTTAGGTAACCCATTTACAATGCTGCCCTCTTCAAATCAAGTGACTGACCTGCCTCCCTCTGAAAGCACACCACCTGATGGACAAGTCGAGTCAGCGGTATGTTAGTAAAAAATAGTCTGTTTTTCCTTTTGTTTTGGACTCAGATTTGTACATCACTGTATACTAGGAATCGTGACTAGTTTTGTTTAACCAGGAGAACAAGATAAACGATGGATCTGGCCCAACGATTTTTTCATGGGATGATGGTTTGACAAGCTTAAGTATTGGTGGCTTACTTTCAGAAGTATCTTTGAAGGGAAACTTGGGGAATCGTTCCAAAAATTCAAACGCAGTGAATGCAAACGCGACTCTCTGGGACGACAGTCTTACAAACATAAGCATTGGAGGTCTGTTTTCCGAGGCATCTTTACAAGACAAACGCGGTGTTAACCTCAAACAAGAATCAACCCATAATAATCATAATAATGATCAGCCAAGTGTAAGCATTGGAGGCTTACTCTCTGAAGCATCATCACCAGGAGAGGGGAGGATTAGTGACGGTAACCAAACATGGGAGACAAGGAGAGCTATCTCAAAACAGCCATTACCCTTAATCTCTGATTCATTAGATGCTTTCCTGGTGAACCAAACAGATCAGCCTCGAGCTCCATGTCCTCCCGAGCTCTCACATTCGTCTATACTCGACGCAGAAGACACATGCCATGCATTTTCATTCCGAAAACGTACTACAACCTCACAGAAGGTTCTTGAGCAGGTTAAACCATAAACGTTTCCCATGTTATGCGGTGTTTTAATTTTGTTACTCAGTATGCATTTCTGATTAGTTTTAGAACATGCGACTCGTGATTACGGGGATTTGAATTTTGGCAGGTAACTGAGGAAGCTGAGCAGCAGCAACAGAGAAATGAATCGAAACCTGCAAAAGGGTTGTTTGGTTCTACAGTGTTTAATCAGGACACCAGCCTTGGATTTTCAGGAATCAAGTGGGTAAGTGAGATTTCTGTATATATATGATAGAAACCTCAAATTCTATCTGCACGAGTGAAACTAACAAGCTAATTATATTTACAGTTTGGGTTTCGATTAATTGATATCTGCTTCCTTAAACGCAGGCTGATTCACGGGGACCATTTGATTTTGGTTTATCTTCGTCGTCTCGAAAGTTTACTAATGGAGACAGTGTAAGTTTCGGTGCTGTGTTAAAAGATTTGCCGGAATAGCCTTTACAAGAGAAAAGTCACAGGTACGTCAAATAAATCAATAAATCCCGAAAGATAACAGCTCTAAAAAAATCTGGAACCATTTTTTCAGGTTTCATTTCTAGTAACATTTGTTACATATCATACATATCACACAAACTCATTCTTACAGGAATGTTTGTTTCATAGGACCTGAAGATTAATCAGAATTAAGAGGATAAGGTCGTACTTTCCCTCAAATTGACTTCTCAAAGCAGTGTGATTACATGTTCTTTGACCTGCTTCACCACCATCAGTCTTCAAATCTCTCAGGAAGCAACTCTTTTGCTCTGCAAAATACAGTATGCGAGAGCTTTGTTCATTAAAGGACGCTGAAACTTTAAACTTGCAACAAAAACTTTGTCTATAATACTTCTTACCTGTAAAAACTTCAATCCAGACATGAGTTTCTGTACAACAGATTAGTGATGATTACTGGACTGCTTACCACTCGCTTAGTCAACTGGGTTGCTGTATATAGATTTATTTAAGATACTGAAGTAGGGGGATAGCTGATTTGGTTCGGCATGATTGAAATTAAATGGGATCTGATATACTAAATTACTAATTTATCACCAATTGAAGACCATTGTATCGAAGTGTACTATATTTGATATTAAGTGATTTCTAAAATAAAAACCCAAAAACGAGAATGTTTTTGAAACCTGACACAGGGTCTATGCCATCCACTTTTATGATGTTAGATCATTAAAATCCGTAACACTGATGCTAACTGCGTGGATATGAAAGGACGGTTTCATATGCATGTTACTGTGAAGATATTTTTCACACTTAACAATGCACACGAACTCAAATGTAGTTCAAGAAAGAAAAAAAAAAAAAAATCCAAAGCTGAGGAAGAAAAGAAAAATGTTCAAGAGTACCTGAAATTGGCAAGATGGTCAAGAGTTCTTGTTTAAACCGACGTCAAACTTTCAGCTACCTCAAGGTCCTCAACCTCTGACTAACACTAATGTATTCTTAACATTAATGAGTGATTAAATTTTAAAGTCCTTGATATACACTAAATCTGTTTGAAGGAGGCAAAATTACCTCAGCACGAACGTCGTGTTGAGACATGCAACATATGATTATTAGATTCTTCATCTTCAAAGTATACCATGGATCTTGGCACTTCAAGGAATCAACTCCATCAAGTGCTAAGTTTCCCATTTTCCTTTTCCCCATTTTCAACTTCTTTCCCCCATGGCAAATTTTTGCCTCATTTCCCTTGGACAGAATGGAAGCAAACAATAAGAATTTGTATCATACATTACCACCATCTTAGAATTATTCATTAGACCATGCTCCAAACATAAGCAATAAACAATTCAGTATACTATGAACTACATAATCAAGTGACATTCTATGCGAATCCAAGAATATCCTCATCACGGAAGATAGGTTTTCAGCAATCACATATCAGATAGATTGTTAATCTATTTTCAAAGACGGAGAATATAGGATGAGTACCTTGATAGCATTGTCTGACAGCGAATATTGGAAACTGACTCCATGCATCCAATAGGTTTTCTTATCTGAAAGAAATTGCAACCACTTAGACAGGATACTGCCAATTGGAGTTCATCATTTTGCTTTTAAAAAGTTTTTCTGGTAGAAGCTATTTATTCACCACTGCATTTTGCATACCGTATGAAAACAATTGGCTTAGAGATTTCTAAGATACAGTGCACAGTTACCTATTCCGGATATACAAGTTTGGGTCAAGAGTCCAACCCACAGTCTGCGACCCCAAAATCAGAATCAGTTTAAGTTTCTCTCAAGTTTTCAGACTCGAGTTCAGTAATTTAAGCCATTTTCCTGGTAAGATTTTCCAAAAGAAACGTAGAGAGACAAGTGAATTCGAGTAAACAATTTCACAATTTCAAACAGAATCAAAAGAACCATCAGATCTGAAACTCACGAAGTCAAAAATCAACTCCGTAAATGTTGACTAAAGCGATTCGTCGCAGTCTCGCAAAAGAAAAGCGAATTAGTACAGACACAGTGAAACGAGTACACAAAACTGTAGAAGCGCACCAGGAATACCAACATTTCAGCAGTAGAACACACTACTGGCATCTCGACATTGATTTCATCAAATGAAAGAATTCCATTAAATCCGTCACAAAACGAACCAAACCTAGATATATTGTTCGATAAATTACAGATACGGAAGGTTCAACTAACCAGAAAACTTTTCGTATCAACGAAACCAATGGAACATTTGAAGACGGAGACATCATCGGAGCAAAGGCATCTCAGCGACGATTGAAGATCCCGGTGGTTGCTTTCTGTGATACCGGTCTCCGACATCAGAATCGTATAGATAAACCAAATGCAGATATCAGATCTGGCGATTGCTTCTGCGGTAAGCCAGATCCTCCCGTCGAAGATCAGGATCGAATCGTTCATCAGAGAGACTGAGAGAGAGAAGAGACTTTAAGTTTGAATTTGGGCTGGAGATTATTCTTACGAGCGCGTATATTATTTTGGGGATGCTAAAGGACTGTTTGGATTCACTGACAGCACAATTCGGGAACTAGAGGAGCGTTTGATTGTTTTTATTAAACGAGTGTTTGGCTACAGAGGATTCATAAAACCTTTCACTCCCGGTCATCTTCTACTCAGTCAAGTTCACACAAGAATCAATAATAAACCAATGAATATTCAAACTGTGGTTTTATTTATTTTTCTTTAATAAAGCTTCTCATAGAAGAGCAAGCTAGCTTCAGCACCAAGAACATCACTCTCTGAAACTCCACACACTTGTGAATCAGATATACTAAACCAGTTCAAATCCTCACAACGGTCATCATCACAATTTTCTTCCTCTTCCTCTTGTGATGCAACTCTCACACTTCTATAAACAGTATAATGTCCGCTTCCGGTTCTACCAAAATGTTCCACCACCGTAACAAGTCTATACATGCCGTGGTCTCTTGATGCTTCTGATTGTTGGTACTGTGACGTCATCTGAGTGTTTTCTATGTTAAATCCTATTGACGACGGTGTGAATAACGAGAGGTCCAGGACAAGCGGGAATGCGACATGTCCCTATAGTAATAAACTGAGATTAGAACGGATAATAACTAGAACTCTGGATATGAAATGTAGAGAGGAAAGAGTCTCTACCGATAGTTTGACCGATTCTCCAAACATGTTTAAAGAAGCACGTTGCACTTGAATGCATAGAAGCTGTTGAAAATTTAGCTACAGAAGGTCAAATGGGACTTCTATGAGATGGAAACTTTCGATAAGTAAGTAAATACCTTTGGGAATCGTGCGATGATTAATTGCTTCAATATATGGGAGTAGCTATTTGACCATGGCATTCTTTCAAGATGAAGAGATGCTTTACAGTCGCATTCGTCGTCTCTGCCACAGCTCCTGACCTTTTCGATATCTGTCTGATCAAAACCATTTTAAGTAAAGACGGAGCAGATAAGAGTCGTGAAGCATGTGCAAAAAAGGTTATATAACGATTAAAGATGAGAGTTAGCTACCTGAGCTGCTCTTATCACAGATAAATACTTCAGTGCAGCACCATGCCAGCATCTTTGGCAGAAGTAGTTTTCGACTTTCTCGGCTTCAAGAAACTTCTTCAAACAATTCTCCAAAGTGCACCCCAACATCTAAGAGCATCGCAAGAACCCAAAATGAAATGCTTTTCTGGAGAAGTTTTATATTCACAAAAGTAAAAAAAAACGAAGCAATGAGAGAATGAACCTTCCGTAACGTACAATGTTGGAACTACCACTATGGAGTAAAGGAGAAAGAGGCAAAGTATGAAAGAACTGAAACTCCAACGAAATCTGCAAATGATAACAAGAAAAATATCAATTGAGAAAAGGTATTTAACAAATTTTAAGAGCGGATTTACTGTTGAGATTGAGAAATGTAAAGCCTAATTACCTGAGACGAACAAATTCGACACATCAACGTACTGCCAAGAATCCCATTGAATGGTCCACGTAAATGTTTATGCCATGTCTTGAGCTCCATCAAACCATGGAGGCCTTCACTAGGCGCAACCATTCTCAAGTTACGAGAAAACATTATCTCCGATAGATTACTACTTTTGGTGGGGCGATAACAGACTACAATCTCTTCTTGCAAAGAAGTAATTAGATGAAGCAGGGCTTCTGCTGCATCCTATGTTTCAACAAGATCATTAGCTCGTAGACCACAATGATTTTAACTCAAGTCTGCGTCGGTCTAATTGAAATTGAAATTTAACCTGTTGGCTTGTCAAATTGAAGTTTCTGACATATTGGGTCAATGTCAACATAACTTTACGAGGGCTAGATACAGATGGTCTTCTTCCAACAGTGCAGAGCTCTGTCAGTAACAATTGATCGACAAAAGATTAAGCCTAACTAAGTGTCATTATCACACCATTTTCGACTCAAGATACAGAGACAAATGAGGAAGTTCCTAAGTTTACCTTGTAATAAAGTAGACAAAGCAAAAGTAAGGGGAAGATGTTCATCCAGTTCTCCCGCTACCGTTTCTCTCGTATCCTCTATAACCCATTGAAGAAAATTCCGAAAATCTTTGCAGCTCGCGAGAGCCTAAAAATCAAATTTTCACAAACGAAATGTGCAACAGAAAGATTAAAAGCAAGCTCAAAGATTCCAGAAAAATCACAAATACAGTTCAAAAGGGGCTATACAAAGCATAACCTGAAGGATCACGTTGAGGAAACAATTATTCCCGAGATTTTGCAAGCCAGGTACGAGAAAAGCATCAGCACCGGCGTCGAGGAGATTGAGGTTGCGGAAACTACCGTTTTTCAGGGCAAAAACGAAACCAGCTACTCCAAGTAGACTAGCGACAGACAAGTGCGACACCCAATTCGAAGCCCTAAATCTTTCCGTAAGAAAAGAGATAATCGCCTTCGTATCGGCGGAACCTCTACAGGAAACCATAGTCAAAATGTCCGAGTACAAATTGCTTCGCTGTATCTATCTATCTTCGCTTGAGAAGTTGAGAAACCCATAAACCCTCCAAGTCGTTTGGAAGGTTCGTTTACACATCTTGTTTGAATTAAATTATGAATCAATTTTTGTCTGAAAATTTCTTAGATAGATTTATCATTTTGAATAATAGTATAATTACCAGTTCTTGTCCAAATAACTTAATATTTTGTCATGTATCTTATATAAAAATTAACTGTACTATTGATTAATTCAATTATCTGGCGTTTGATTCGGCGATATAAGAAGGTTCGTTTCAACTAACACAAGGAAGTGAGAAATTAAAGACGGATTAATGTTTATAATTATTCGTGTAATTAGATTGTTTTCAGCTGTGAGAATTCAAGCGTACTTCGACGATATTCATTCTCAACGCAAGTGTAATTAAATGTTTTCAGCTGAGAAATTTGAAGAGACTTCGATGTTATTTATTATCAACGTACCAACTCGTAATGTACAAGAACTCATCTTTCAACTATCATCACAATAAAACATTCAAACGACAATAGTGTCTACTACAAATAGTTAAGAAACTACAAATGAAATTTGTCCGCGACTCAATGGAAGTTAACACCCAGAAATACCTGCAAAATTCAATATAGAAACATAAACAAGAATAAAATCAAATAAAGATCTCAGTGATCCAAGGAAGGATAAGAACTGCATTAGCTCTCAAGCCCGGCGAAAGGCGAAAGCTTTAGGCGGCATCTGCGAATGTTTTGAGAAACAAGCCTTAATGTTTATTGTTGAAATATAGTACTGAAGATCAAGACAAATGAAGAAGAGCAACAACAACAGAGTACTAAGCGTGGAGAGGAAGTTGTTTTGTCTCCAACAGTCAGCACAGGATCAGTAAAATGCAGGACCACTTTCTTGTAGCCGTTTTGCTTTAGCTCATTAAATGACTAAGCATGAGTTGTTTGTCTTGTCTCCGACATGGGCCCGTCTGATTCAAGTTTTTTCAAATAACAAAGAAGAA